TGAGGAACTAGATGATATGCTGGCAAAAGATATTATTGAGCCTAGTTCTTCTCCTTGGTCATCTCCAATCGTAATGGTGAAGAAGAGTGATGGCAAATGGCGATTTTGCGTTAACTATAAGAAGTTAAACGCAGTAAGCATTCCCGACGCGTACCCCATTCCATATGTTAGTGCGATTATAGACAAACTTAGGGATGCACGTTACCTGACTACGCTTGACATCAAGTCAGCGTATTGGCAAATACCAGTTGCCAGAGAGTCTCGCGAGTTGACAGCGTTTACTGTTCCCAATCGTGGCCTATTTCAATTTAAGAGAATGCCCTTTGGCTTACATTCTGCCCCAGCTACTTGGCAAAGGTTGATTGACCGAGTACTAGGTGTCGACTTGGAGGGTTATACTTTCGTCTACCTAGATGATGTCATAATCTGTACGTCAACTTTTGAAAAGCACTTAGAGGTCCTAAGTGAAGTTTTAAAACGTATTCGTGAGGCCGGTTTGACACTGAATCGCGAGAAATGTAACTTTTGCTGTTCTGAGTTACGATACTTGGGCTATATTGTGAATGAACACGGATTGGCAGTTGACCCAGGAAAGGTTGATGCAATCCTCAATATTCCTACACCTCGTACTGTTACGGACGTTAGGAGGATAGTTGGTCTCGCATCATGGTATCGACGATTTATCCCATCCTTTTCAACCGTAGTATCTCCAATGACTCAACTTACCCAAAAGAATAAACCGTTTATCTGGGATAACTTATGTGAGGAATCCTTAAACAAGATCAAGGAACATTTAGTTTCGGCTCCGATCTTGGCCTGTCCAGATTTTAGTCAACCCTTCATCGTCGAAACTGACGCCTCCGATTTTGGTTTGGGAGCGGTTCTGCTTCAACGGTTACCTGAAGGTGAAAAAGTAATATGTTACTTAAGCCGCTCACTAACAAAAAGTGAACGCAAGTTTTCCACCACGGAAAAAGAGTGCCTGGCGGTACTGTTTGCAGTAGAAAAACTCCGTCCATATTTAGAAGCTACCAAATTTACGGTAATAACAGACCATTACTCATTGAAATGGCTCTTCAGCATTAAGGATCCGGTAGGAAGAATCGCTCGATGGGCATTACGACTGCAGCAATATGATTTCGACATCATACACCGAAAAGGTAAGGATCATATTGTTCCAGATACCTTATCACGCTCGGTGCCTGTAATTGATTTCCTTGACGAATCCCATGCTACAGTCCAACCTTCTATCGATAAATGGTACACGAAAATGTGTGACTTAATTACAAAATTTCCTCGTAAATACCCTATATGGAGGTTACAGGATGGAAAACTCTTGCGAAAAACCAAATTACGATATCCTGAATTGTCAGATTCACAATGGCTCACAGTTGTTCCAAAGGAGCAAAGGAATGCAATCATTAGTAAACATCATGATCCCCCAACATGTGGTCATATGGGTATATCAAAAACTAGCGCTAGAATTTCAGAGGCTTACTATTGGCCTAAACTAAAATCGGACGTTACACGTTATGTCAAAAGGTGTCAGATATGTCTTCAAACGAAGCCAGAGCAAAAACCACCGATTGGACAAATGTTGTCTGCCCAAGTTGGGGCCTCGAGGCCGTGGGAATTAGTAAGTGTGGACCTAGTAGGCCCACTTCCACGTTCAACCAAGGGTTATACCTACATCCTCTCTGCTCTGGATTGCTTTAGCAAATTTATTTTATTGTTTCCTCTTAGAAATGCCACTGCAGCTTCCATAGTAAGTCACTTGGAAGCCCATGTTTTCCTTATATTTGGTGCCCCCAAGAAAATTATTGTCGATAATGGAACGCAATTCCGAAGCGACCTCTTCAAAGGGCTTATGAGGGAATATCAGGTAAGAATTGGGTATACGGCTAATTACCACCCTCAAGCCAACCCCGTGGAAAGAGTACATCGTGTAGTTAAGACTATGCTGGCTAGTTATGTTACAGACAATCACAAACAGTGGGATAAATATTTACCCAAAGTTGGTTTCGCGATTCGTTCTGCAAAGCATGATGTAACTCAAGTTACACCCAATTTAGTTGTCTTTGGTAGGGAGGTGAACATGAATGATAGTGAGAAGCTGTCGCCATCTAATATCCATAGCGATGCGGAGGTTAAAGAAAAAGCTCTGAATAAATTGTACCAAGACATCCAGGCCAGACTTAAAAAGGCATATGAACGATCAAGCAGACCCTATAATCTAAGGCATAGGAATGAGAAATTCTCTCTCAACCAGTATGTCTGGAAGCGAAATTATGTGCTGTCAGATACCGCTAAGCAATTTACAGCTAAATTAGCTCCAAAATTTTGCGGTCCATACAAAATAATAAAAATTGTTTCTCCCTGGACCTATGAGCTAGAGGACAAAACTCATAAATCTCTTGGCATATGGAATGCGAAAGATCTAAAAGCTCATCCTCCGGATGACACTTCAGATGAGGATGCAGAAAGTGAACAGGAATAGATATTCCTTTATCTCTTTCCTTAATGCTTGTAAATATTTATGTACATATATTTTTTTTTTTTTTTTTTTTTTTCCTTTTCTGCCTTGAAAACTTTTTATAGTTGCAAATTATTTTGTTTTCTTGGTGAAATACTTAAAAGTTTCCTTGAAACTTTTTTTCAGGGAAGGGTGGTGTGTAACGGTTTTATTTTGCCACATTAGAAATATATTAGGGATGAGATTTTATCAGTCTTATATATCTTAAATAATTGTAAAAAATCAAATATCAGACCTTTTGGATTTAGAAATATGTGTGAATTGAGGCGTTATTTATAAAGGAGTTCTGTTATCATACCAGGAGGTTTATGTTTATTTTCATCTTCTTCTTTTTGGATTTTTCAACTTTGTTCTAATTACCTTGTCACAATTCTTCTTTTCTGGCTCCCCTTCACAGAAGTTGGTAGACTACCTCAGCAACACCAAAAATCTGCTTACCAGTACCTACAATATTTTTAAAATTCAAAATCACTAGATTTTGGTGAGAAATTGAATGAGGAAAAAAAAAAAAACTGATTCTCTTATCTTTGGACTTTTTGATGTGAATAGTCACATTGTCGCAATTTGCGGATATTTCCAAAAATCTTTGAATTTTTAAATATATTTTACTTCGGTTTGTCATACAAACGAAGAATCTCTTTATGAGGATGTTTGTTTAAAAATTTAAAAGATAAAAGATATTATTTCTCACCTTTTAAGGTCATCCACCAGCCAAGACCTTTTTTTTTCTTTGGTTACGATTTGTACCTTTACTCGCTGAATATATCTACTCGGCTCCAAGCCTATGGTAAAAGGTATTTTGGACTCCTGCATGTACACCTGCTTTTATATATCCATCCCGCAGTACCCACCGCTTTAAGATCCTGAAGGATACTCCTGCATGTACACGAAGCTACTACCTACCTGCTTCGATCTGGGACCTACTCTGGCCACGTGAATGCAGAACTTCCAGGACCAAACACACACAGATAAGCTTGCATGCCTCTCATAAATATATAATCGTGTCTATTTTGCTATTCGATGATTAACTTAGGGATAGTAGGCTATATCTTCCTGTAGTCATATTAAAGGTTATCGAACAACTTTTTCAACCACGTCTTTGTTCTCTGGGGTTGGGACAAACAGATAAAGGGACAACACAAGTAAATTAACTCCTTTTTATGTATTAATTTGGTTGTTACCCTCTGCTTTAAGCAATAATTTGCTTCCGGAAACAGGCCGGGAAAACTGTAAAAAGTTATAATTGTAAATATTAAGTATACATAATTTAATCGCATGACTTACGATATGATGTAAACCATACAGTATATATACTATATCGGTAAAATTTATAATATTCTTTAAATAAGTGCATTTCATTTTTTTTTATTCATAAAACATAACCTATACATTCTTCTGTTTCTAAAATATTACAAAGTTAATTAATCATTGATATAAAATACACTGGACTGAGAAAATCTCTACCTCTTATATGATCTAATCTTAGCAAGTTATCAGCCACCGACCTTGTATATATATATTATTGAAAAAGGATTTGAAATTGGTTTCTTTTTTTTTCTCTTGTACATAATTATCAACTCTTCATAAATAAAGGAATCCTATACAGCTGTACAATCAGATAATTATTGTTTTAATAGAACCCCGTAACTTCTTGGTAATAGATTCCCACTGGAAATCACCTCCAGCGAGGAATCTATGTAACAATCTCTTCAAAATTACTATGGTTTAATATTTTATTCTAGAAATTAACAAGAAAAAATGAAGTATTTACGTCTAGAGTGCTGCCAAGATGTTGAGGCGTGATAAAATATTGAAATTTTGTAATGATAATGTAATAAAAAAAGTCATTATCAATGCAGCAGATGTTAATGCATAATAATGGAGCTTGTGAATTTATTCCATTTGGCTGTTCCACACTGTATTTTTCGCGTCCGGTTCGTTTTTAAGAATATAATGATTTATTTAAATATTTTGTTTGTTTCCGTTTTTAAGGATATACTTATTGACTTTTTGTTAACGGTAATTTTTTGTTCTGCATCCGAAAATAAAAGCGAAAATGTTATAAATAAGGTAGTTATTATTAACGTGTCTTGAAATGTCTGTAATTGTTTGTAACAAAATTTGCATAACAAAGATGTCGAGAGAAGTCATGCCCATATTCATACCAATTTTTAACAAAATTACTTCCATAATTTATTCTGAAACTTTGGACTAACCCCGTATACAATATTATTAGAAAAATAGGTCAGTACAAGTTTTGGTTTGCAATGTATCAACTGTAGATCTTGCTTTTGTTTAATTTTTGTTGCTATCTAATTATTTCCTTTAAATTTGAAATTTAATTAAAATGTACTTTTATTTAATAAAATCAAAATCTAACTCATCCAGATACTTGAAGTATGTGATAAATATATACTTACCATTGCCTGATCACTGTATAAAATAGCTTTAAACAAGATCTTAGATAATGGACTTTCCAAGTACCAGTTCTTGGGACTATTCTCTTATTGGAACAGACACTCTTATTTCGTCAGGTATATTATCTGAAGCTGTAAATGTACTAAACAACAGCACAGAATTAGAGCCTTGCCTGCCAGAAAAACAAGTACTCAATTTGGATCGTCAAGATACTGTATCAACTTTACTAAAAGCTTGGGGTTTATCTGAATTGGAAGAACATTTCTGTAGTAAGTTAATGGAAAAATCATACTAATTAATTTTAAGTTATTTTTCCTTTTAGTTAATAAAGTTGATCTTCAATCTCTCAAACATGCGAGACTTCATCATTTGCAAGATTTATTAAAAAATTTTCCTTGGGGCATAAAAGTTAAGTTCGAGCACTACCTTTTTGAGTGGCAGAAATCTGTAGTAAGTTAAATCATCTATATTGTTTTCTTTATTAAAAAATTTTTTTGGATACACCTAATGCTTATTGTTTATACTTTTTAGGGTACATATGTACACAATGAAAGTAAGGAGAAAAGCAAAGAGGAAAGTAAGAAAGAAAGTAAGGAAGAAAGTAAAAATAAAGAAAACGAAAAAAGCAATGTTTGCGATTTCGAAGATAATACCTGTATCTCTGAACTGGTAAATAAGTTGAACTATAATATAATTATTAATAATTCAAATCATTGCATTTTAGATTGATTTAAAGTCCATTTTAAAAGAATACAACGAGGGAAAATCAATTTTAAAAATGTGTGAAAGAGGTGTTACAGAACTGCCAGAACCTCATCGACAAATTTTGGTGGATAAAATCGTCGACCACTTTATCCAAAACAATAAAAAAATGAGCGTGTCAGTAGCCGGAACTATAGCTAACCAAATTAAAATCTTATTCCCATATGAAGTCAAGGTACTTATTATAATATACTCATAATTTTAAAATATAAATATATATAAAGATAAATGATTAAAATGAGTTGTAAAATAACTTTTTTATTATTTCAGGAATACTATTTCGCTCCTCAAAAAAATAAGGCCCCAAAGGGAAAACTTTTGGCCAAATATTATAACAATACAAGAAAACTAAAATCTAGTGGGCTATTGGAGGGACCCCTGGTCAAAAGAAAAGTATATACAGAGTCATCTTTAGGTATTTTTATTACTTTAAGACAGGTTTTATGAATTTATCGTTAATTCAATATTTTTGACAGTTCTTCCTGAGTCTGAAGAAGATGCTGAAATTATAAAGGAAAAATTAAAATATATACAGGAGGAGGAACGATGGGAGGAAATTAAAAATTTTTGGACAAAGTGCCAAAATTACCGAAGAAGATTTTTGGTCGAAGACGATAGCAAAAACATAGTAACGATTTTAACCGAATGGCCCCTGTATAGACACCCACTGGGATACACCTTGGTAGGAATTTATATTTTGAATTTGTTCTATAAAATAATTTTCAAATATTTTTCTGTTTTAGATAGAAATAGATTTCCAATATTTATTTCCTGCTGCAAGCAGCATATATTTGAAGTGGAATTTATTTGTCGAAGCAGCATTAGATATTTTTAGTACTAAAATTAAAGAAAAGAAATGTCGACTGCTTTTGGAAAATCTAAAATCTGAATATGAAAATATTTCTGAAGGTTTGTTGATAATATATTTAAACGTAATTAGAGACAACATTCAAGAGCCCAAATTACTCTATCAACTTTATATTAAAGTTAAAAGTTGCAAAGATTTTGTGGGTTAATTCTCGAAATTTAGGTACGTTCTTCGTACTTCTTCCGAGTTTCAGACAAGAAAAGATGTTAATTTAGTTCGCATGTTTTTTTTTTTTCTCCTTAGTATTACATTATCTATATTTTTATTGTAGATGGACGAAATGTTGCTATTATCTTCCTCCTTCACGCAGCTATTGTGCCAACATCCAAGAAGACAGAAAAAGTAGGTACTAAGAAAGTATTAATCAAGTACACAATAAGTGATTCCCAGGATGCTTTTATGGTAACAGGTGCCAGTTTAGCCGAAATCGAAACTAAACTTTTGTTACTAAAAAGTAAAAAGTTACCCATTCAACCCCACCTAGTAGTAATCTATGATGATAATTTATTTCACCCCAAACAATACTTGGTATGTTGTGATCAAATTAAATATAGCTTTTTTTCCCCAATTTCGGCTCTAAATTGCTGCCTTCAACTATATCACGTTTTTAATTTAAGTTATCCCTTAGAATGTGTAGCAGTCTGGCAATTTTTACAAATTTATTTTTTCGATATTAAAACCCAACATGATATGGTACTTCCAACTATCAATATATTTTTAAATGAGCTAAGCAAAAAGGTTCAGGTTTAAAAAAATATATAGTTTTTTCAATAATAAAATAATCAGAATATTTTATTGGACATGCCCGATATACAGGGTTTTCCGTAATGATATTCCAATATTTTAACAATCAATTAAGGGGGAGTTTTCATATAAAATTTTGCAATTTGGATCCTTTCTATCGAGATATTTCATTTTGAAAATGGCAAATATAATTAGTTTTTTTAACATTTGACTAAGAATTTTGGTAATACACATTATCCGCTAGTCGAATCCTATTTTGTGATGGTAATTCTTCTTTCAGTTCATGTTTGTGAAGGGTATAGATTAGCAAGCTCTTTTTTCATTTCTTTCAGAACTGTTTTCGTTAAAAGCCAATTCCAACAAAATTTTCAACACTACACGCACTTTTTTCGTACATTCAACAGTTAACATACAAAAAATTAAAATAATTTCACTTGACTTTTTAATAAAATTGGCGTCATTGATTACTACAAAACGTATTAGGCGGCTGTTATTTTTTGCTTTGTCAAAAAATCACATTTATGTCAATTCCTAAGACTAACTTTTAAAAAAAAATTTTTTTTTTGCCAATTTGAAACTTTAATGTCATTGTCTTGACAGAAGAGACCAAAATTGTAAAATTTTGTAAGAAAACCCTTCCTTAAATGCTTGGTAGACCACCCTGTTAAAATATTGGAACATCATTACGGAACAAATTATTTTTTCGTTATTCCGTAGTCAAAATTTGATGTTAATGTAAAGAACAGATTCTTTTACATAAGTAATAGAATCAATTCAAATCAATTAAATAATTGAAAGAATATTTTTTATTTTAAAATCTATATTTAGATTGAATTTATCTCCACTTAAATTTTTGCTATATATTTGAATGACTTCTAACGGATTCTGCAAATGAAAAAAGCTTCGTCGTATTAAAATGTGTTTTTACGTTTACTGGAAATATCAATTTCAAATGGTTTTTTTCCAAACATTGCAAGTAGAATTTTTCAACCGTATGTATCACTCTTATATTTTTCAATTTACTGAAAGGTACTTAGGCTTTATAACAACGTAATGTTAACCTATTTAAAAAGATATATGACATAAATCTCATAGTACTAATGAAAAGACCATACTTCTATTTCAATCCTTTGAACAGTTAAAAGCCATTCGAATAGGGGAAAAGATATGCGAAATCCGGTATATTTTATAACTTGGTCTTGTGCACAGATTCTCCTGAAATTTTTCAAAGTAACAGTCGTTTTATGTAAAACTGTCACTAAAGATCCACCTTAAAGCTTTAAGGAGACTCTGTGGATATATGGCTGATAAAGATTCTTGCGATATTTCTGTTTTGTTAAAAAAGTCTAGTATGAAGATAAAAACTATGTAATATTTTTATAAGTTATTTTTTTTTGTTCTGAAAATAAATATTTTTATTTTTAAAGTATTTTAATTTACATTACCTTTTACCTATATTTACACGTATATTTTTAAACACGCTGAAAAGAAGTCATACAGTTTTCTTTTTAGTAATATAAGTGTGCTAGAAACTTTGCATCCACTGAAAAACTTTGTTTACAATTTCACTCTTGAAATAAAAAAATAAGGGCAATTTAAGAAATTATGAACGCCGAAGAATAAAATATTCTTTTATTGTAAAATTTAAATATTCTGACTGAAAAATGTGAAAATTCAACCCAAATTACTTTAACAAAATTTAGCTCCTTACTAAGCTACAGGGTATTTTATTTAAAAAATTAAAAATTATTTTGCCCATTATGATATCTTTCAATATTTTTGTTTATACTTGACCCAAAGTTTATGCACGTAGTGACCGAATTTCACTCTGCTACATTCTACGCCACGGACAAACTAAGTCCCTACTTCTATTATTACGACTCTAGTAATAGTGAGGATAAGAAACTTTCTACAATAATTTAAATTGTCCTAACAAGCAACCAAACTTTTTGCCAAGTATGAACAAAAAAGATTTGAAGGTATCACAACAGTGCGCAAAAATAATTAAATAGTCAGTAAGGAGCAATATTTTGTCTAAGTAATTTGACTTAACCCGTAACCGGTGAGGTGGAGTCATACAGACTCCTGACACTTTAAAAACCACTGTAACTTTTTTCCGGTGACCTCGAATATCGCGCGTGCTCATGTACCTTCAAATCACTATTAGTAGTTATTGGTATTCAGTGTTCATCGAGCTACGGTACTGTAAACACGTTTAAATTAGAAATCAGAGTCTCTGTGACTCCACCTCACCGTTAAGGTAAGTTTTTTAATTGTGATAAAATTTGAAATTTTTGTGTAAAACTTGTTATTTTTAGATGGATTTACGTCCTGGTACATCGAAAACTGTTCATCCATTGGACAGTAATTTTGAAAGTACCATTTTAAGATGGCATAATGAAGAAGGATCGGAAGGATCTGATATGGAAGACGGAGATGATCTTGAAGAACACGAATATCGACTTTCAAGTGAAAGTGGTGATGATGATGAACAATCTTTGTCAAATGATGAAAATATTGATGAAGAAGCCTCGGAAGAAGCAGACCAAGACAATGATAATGGAATTGAAAAAAAGTATTTTTATGGGAAAGATCGACAAAAGTGGGCAGTAAACGAACCTGTAAGGAATGTACGAACTCCACAACATAATATAGTTGTAACCTTACCAGGATTAAAAGGTCCTGCTCGTACTCTAGGAGATAGAGCCAATCCTGAAGATATATGGAACCTTCTCATCTCAGAAGCTATGATAAATACTATAGTGCAGTATACAAATATAAAGATTGCAGAAATTCGAACACGTTATGCTGAAGAGACGCGAACAGATTTGAAAAATACGGATAGTATTGAAATAAGAGCTTTGATGGGCTTACTAATATATACCGCGATCTACAAGTCTAATGATGAAGATATTGATGCCATGTTTACTGCAGATGGAACCGGAAGAGAGATTTTTAGAACTATTATGAGCGGAAAAAGATTTAGTGTTTTGATCAATTGCTTGAGGTTTGATGATACCACAACTAGGAAAGAAAGGCTGAAAGAACAACCAGCGGCTCATATTCATAACATTTTTGAAATGTTTTTTGAAAATTGTCAAAATGTATTTACCATTGGGAAAAATGCATGCATTGATGAGATGTTAATCGGATTTAGGGGCCGGTGCAAGTTCCGAATGTACATTCCGAACAAGCCACGAAAATATGGCATAAAGCTTATGTTGTTAACTGATGCTAAGACTCAATTTGCCTATAATAGCTATATTTATACAGGAAAAGGTTCGGATGGAATTGATCTTTCGAATGCAGAGAAAAATTTGACCAAACCCACACAATCCGTAATTCGTCTCTCAAAACCTCTTTTTGGCACTAATAGGAACATTACTGCGGATAACTGGTTTTCGTCTCTTCAGTTGGTGAAAGAGCTACAATCCAGAGGCCTTACCTATGTTGGAACAATGAGAAAATCCAAAAGAGAAATACCACCAGAATTTAAGGCAAGCAGACAAAAACAAGTTGGTTCTGCATTATATGGATTTTCAAAACATGAAACGCTGGTTTCCTATATTCCTAAGAAAAATAAAGCTGTAATCCTCATTTCTTCTATGCATCACTCTCGTTCTACGGATGTTGAAAGTAATAAACCCGAAATAATATCATTTTATAATTCAACAAAAGGAGGCGTCGATGCACTAGATGAGAAATGCACCATTTACAGCTCTTCAAGGAGAACTAGACGTTGGCCAATGGCTATTTTTTACCAAATATTAGACATGAGTTGTGTCAACGCATTTGTCATGCACAATTGTTTCAAGAATAACGAAAATACATCCCGAATCAAATTCATGAAGGCACTAGCGAAAAGCCTGACAGAACCTTTTATGAGGAGACGTTTTGAAAATCCTAGAATTAACTTGGACATAAGAAACTCAATAAAAAGAATACTTGCACTCGAAGAACCAGTACCATTTGAAGCCGAAGAAAAATTAGAGGTTCGGAAGTATTGTTATTTATGCCCATCCAAACTTCATAGAAAGACATTTTACTTATGCTGTGATTGTAAGAAGCCTATATGTTTATCATGCAGCAAGAAAATATGCACACAATGTGCTTCAAAATAGGAGTATCTAAAATATATGTTGTTTGAAATTAGTGTAGTTCACCTGTTGTCAGAATTTTTGTACTGAATAAATATGTTTATTTTTTGCATAAAAATTAATGATTAGTATTCCCTTAGTCCCACCTAATATTGTAAACTTCTAAAAAAAATATATTTTTTTTTTAATTGATGAAATTGTGGAAGCTTGTTCTAATAATGAGAAATTTCAATACTACAGTATAAAAACAAAAACATACTTTAATATTTTTTTTTAATGAAAAAATCATATATGAGCCACTAAAACTCATCTAGTTGTAACTTATTTCAGTGAAATTTATTCATTACAATATTTATTTCTTTTAATATTATTTTTTTTTAAAGGAGTCTGTGTGACTCCACATCACGCTTAATGTAACTGAAATTGCACCTCACCGGTTACGGGTTAAATCTTCATATTTTGAAACAAAAATTTTCCATTTATATTATTTACAAATATTAATGAAACACTATTCATGTTACACAAAAGTACTGTTATGAGGATAATTCATTTCTTTAAATATAATAATATATTTTTATTAATGCAAAAGAAACAACATTGTCATAGAATATAAATCTATATATTTAATAGTTATACTATTTATGTTACACAAAATTACTGTTGTGAAAATAATTATTTTCTTTAAATATAATAACATATTTTTATCACTGCAAAAGAAATACTATTGTCATAATATAGTATAAATCTATATATTTAATGGTTACACTATTCCTTTTACAAAAAAGTACTGTTATGAACATAATTCATTTCTTTAAATATAATAACATATTTTTATGAATGTAAAATAAACACTGTTAGCACAATAAAATATAAATATTTATATTTAATGGTCACACTATCCATGTTACAAAAAA